AGACCAATGTGTTTTTATACTCTCTCTCTCTCTCTCTCTCTCTCTCTCTCTCTCTCTCTCTCTCCCTCTCCCCCTCTCCCCCTCTCCCTCTCTCCCTCTTCCTGTGTAGACTCTGGGTTAGAAACAAGCAGCTCTATTATGAATTCAGATGACTCTCCCTGGGTAAAGAAAATATCTCTCTCCATGTTCTGCTTTCCACTCTGGCTTCTGGCTGCCATTCTTGTTTGTCTTGTTTGTATAACCACACACTGCGAGTTGCAATGCTAGCTTATGCACATTATCTGGCAGTGACATCCATCTTTTAAACTCTGCAGAATGAAGTAGCAAGTATAGGTACTTGATCCTAATTCTCGGGAAGGCAGAAGATGCACGCTATTTTATTTTATGCATGCATTCATTTCTAGTGTATGTGTGAGGATTGTGTAAATGGCCCATGCTGGTAGCCATTTCATGTGGGGGAGTTTACTCCTGATTCCCCACTTAGTCACCTTGTTCCCTTTTTTAGGTTTTTCATCTTTACTTTGGTCTGAGTCATCTGATCATGATTAATGAATGAAATGAAAAGGCAAAATCATGTAGGGTGAACTTAGAGTTCTGGATTCCTTTGGTTGTGGATCTGGTAGATTCCAGGTGCATAGGTACTGCTGTGACAAGGCTGGTGACTTGGACGGATCTAGTAATTGCACTCTCAGTTACACTGATACAAATATTAACATCGTGTCTTCCCATGTGCAAAAGCATCCTTTCCTTGTGAAAGGCAGATGTGTAGTCTCTGGCTTCACGTGTGCCTTCCTTACAATCCCCTCCCCTAAATCAGCCTTCACCTGAGCATATCCCTTACAGGCTGTGCTTTTTATTCAAGGACTTTCCATTCTCCTCCTCCCGGCTAATGCTTATCCATTCCTGAAGACACAGTGAACTCTTTCTGTTCCATCTTCCTCCCAGATGTGAACCTCTCCCTCTGCGAGCTCTGTTGGTGTCCCCGCAGCTATCCCACTGTACCAAGCCCTTTCTGTTTCACGGACTCATTCAGCCTCTGTATCCATCTGCTTCCAAGTCTTTCTTTTCCACTAGTCCAGGGACTCCGAATGCCCACACTATGTCTTTTATCTCTATGTTTCGAGCATTTAAGGAGTAATTCTTAGAAAGACTCCAAGATCTTTCCAGACTCAACGAGTAGTCTAAGGCCCGATTTTCTAAAATGCAGACCTTCATGCTCTGCTCTTTTCTCTCTCACTGGATCTGCATGTGGAGGCTCTGCGTCCACATTCTTCATGTTTCAGGGCCCTTCCTCTTCAGAAACCCTCTGCAGTGGTTTCTAGCTCTCTGCCCAGTCCTTCCAAATTTCTTCCTCCTTCCCAAGCTCCCTCTCTTCTAGCTCAGCACTAAGCAGGGTCTAGATTGTTTACGTAGAAAGATTTTCCACCCTTTTTCTTTGTTAATGACATAACTTTGCTAAAGTCACCAATGCTGTTTAAGGGCCTTCTGCAATTTCTTACATTTGTAGTCTTTCTGGAAGAAGAAAGATTTCTAAGCATTGACAATCCAAGTATGACGTCCATCCCCCTGACCCTTGGGAATCCATCATTACATTGTTGATCTTCTTGTTTAATTTCAGTCCCCTTTGAAATCCAAAACACCAGCACAGAAAAAGCAGTAAAAGGCAGAATTGCTGTACAGTTAACTCTGTATACCAACATGGCGGAAGACTCCATGTGTGCACTCTCCTGCTAAGAATGCTTTCCTGGAAATCAAAGGATGTGCTGAGCACAGTGTAAAGGATGCCACAAGTGTCCATACAAGCAGATTTGAGAACAAAAGTCCCCTTGGGGCAGAACCGCTGGTAGGTTTAGGCAGACTCAGACATTGGCCAATGTTGATTGCAGTAAGTAAAACTTCCAGAGGAATTCTAGTGATGGGGAAGTATTTTAATTAAAAAAACTTCTTAAAAGGTTTTTTATGATATTTTCTTTTGACTCATTTCTCTTTCATTGTATGTAAGATACCATAAAACACCCAGGGGAGTGCAACAAACCCAAACCTGGGCTTACAAGCTCAGAGGTCTCAGTATGGAATTTGGCTGTCACCAAGTCTATATCCTTGGGCCAGCCGGTGATTAACACTGGGTCTCAGTTTCATCTGCAGAATAGGTACCCACCTTGTACTGTGAGAAATGGAGGTAATGTGTAGTGTTGATAGGATTGTCTGTTAGGAAACCCAGCACAGATACACTGCACCTCATGACTCTATAGCAACAGACATTCACTGGGCTTTACACTCAGCTGTCAGGAATGAGGCTTTTGTGTTGGGGACACAAAAATGACTCTCAGCCCTCTGAGAACATTCTGTACCATTTGAAATGATTTAAACAGATTAAGAAATCTACCCTGGGTTCACAGTTCAGAGCATTTCAGGAAATCACATCTTTCTACAAAACTATTTTTCACTACATGACAAGTAGGATAACAAAGGCGACCTGTTTGCACCCAGAAAGGGCCACCAGCATCAAGCAGCCTGTGGACTGGGCGAGCTACCCTTACTGTGAGAACTGTGAGCTAGCTCGTTATCTCTTTCATTTTGTCAGTGCCTTTCCTCTCTGCGTATTGGCAGATTTTTTATTTCAGGAATTAGTCCTCAAAAATCTCTCCTTCCCCTTTAATGTGAAAAATCCCTTCCTATCACTGTAACCCATCCCAAAGGAGCTCCCAACTCTGCATGCTAAGCAAGCATCCCCACAGCCATTTCCTAGCAGTGAAGGGGTCCTGGGCTGCAGAGGCAGCCCCACCCCTTTATTCATATATGCAGAGAGGTCATGTCCGCTAAGCTGATGCAATGGCTTTGCTGGGCTGTGTGCTGTAGGCAGCAGGACTAACTCAGACAAGAGCCAGCCTTCTCCGGCAGTGAGCCTTTGCATCCTGGTAGCAGCAAAGACCTACAGCCTGTATCAAATAGAAACTGGAAGATGGTTGTTGGGGAAGTGGGTTTCTGCAGGACCTAACCAAATCTTGGAGCTATGATTCTTGCTATTTCTGACATCTCAGACCCTCTTGAGCATCTGGTGAATGCTATGCGATTTGTGTTTCAAATTTGGTACACAATATTTGGAAGTTAAGTCCACTGCAGTCCCACCCACTGACTCCAGGTGAAGAGCCTCCTTTGATAAGTATAAACCAGATTACGAAGGCTGATTTTCCGGATACTGCACTAACACACACACACACACACACACACACACACACACACGCACACACACACACCACGCACACAGACACACACACACAGACACACAGACACACACACACACCAGTCACGTGTACACAAATGGAATGAACTCAGAAAATAATAGAAGTCTATTATTTGGAAGAACAATTTTATTTGCAAAGTTGGTTTACCACATTTCTAGTGCCTGAAAGGAAAGGTGACAACACGTATGTAAGTAACATCTGCATCTGCAACATCTGCAGCATCTGCAGCAGCTGACATGCAAGCCTGTCATTTAATTTGGCCTCCTTCCAAAGTGGTACAAGAGGAATTCTGGTACTCCAGGAATTCCAGGTAGCTAGGGAAAAGGAAAGAACCAGCAGGGCCCAAGATGAGATCTCTCCTCGGACACGAAGCCTTTCAACCTGTGTACCAGGCAAGTTAGGACCCTAAAAAAGTCACTGTTTAAGTCACTTTATGAAGGTAAAGCCCAAAGGATGCCACTTTGTAGGTTTAGTGAGCAGGCTGGGCTTGCTTTCCAGTGCTACTGTTCTGACTTCCTGGGAGTCTGATGAGGGATTTACTGAATGAATAGATGCATAGACGGATGGGTCAGATAGCCTGGCCAGATTAATAGCAAGGAGTCATTTGTTAGTAGCAGACAAATCAAGCACAGTCCTGTGGGCTTAGAAGTGATCAATTTATCCATCTGATAAATGACTGATTGTTTCTTCTGTATAGAATGCCTGACCCAAATGCATAGCTGTGTGCTAACCAGGTGGGGAGACTGTAGGATTCCTGCAATTTTCTATTAACAGAGAGCCTAGCAAATGTGGACAGCATGGTGCTTCACTTTGTTGCTGGGCATTTTTGTTTGTTTCATCTGCTAATTCTCCTGGAGGAATTGGATTATCTTCAGTTACAGTCACACTCATTTTTCTGGTGCAGTTAATACATAGAACTAAAGAATAAGTGGTTCCTATCAGTGTTGGCTTTGAACTACAAAAAATGAAATAAAAACAGACAACAAAAAAGTCTGGTGTCCTGGAGTCAACATTTTATTGATCCACCAGCACCTGAATTCTGTTGTTTTTGAATAACATCTGAATGTGAGCCATCTACTCATCTTCTTTATGTGTGTGTATGATGTGTGTGTGTGATATGTTGTACGTGATGTGTTGTGCTCCTGTGTGTATAAGTTCAAGTGTGTGTGTGCCGTGGTGCATGTGTACAGGTCATAACAACTTCAGGTGCCAGTTTGGTCTTCACCTTTCATTTCGTGTGAGGCATGACCTTTGACCTTTCTTTGCTGTTGGTTGCTGCGTACGCTCCTAGCTAACTCATGAGCTTGCCTGCCATCTTGTCGTAAGAGCATTGGGCTGAAATTTTTTGACATTTATTTATTTATCAGGAAAGGGAGAGGGAGAGAGCGCGCTATCATGCTTATGTGGCAGTCAAAGGACAACTTGTGAGAGTTGATTCTCTCCTACCATGTGGGTTCTGGGGACTGAACTCAGGACATCATGCTTGGCA